GCTGGGAAGTGAATCCCAACCCGGAGCATCTGTGAGTGGGGGGTGACCTTCATGGGGAGGGACCTGGTGAACCTCATGGGGGGTGGCAGTTGTGAGGCACAGCTGCTCAGTGCCCACCAGGGCACCTGCGTGCCTGCCCACTGTGGGCTGGGGGATTGTGCAGGTGTAGGGGAGCGGTAGTGCAGGGATTCTCGATCAGGGCCTGGCACACTGGGCTGCCTGGAGATCCTTTCTGGGGTGCTGCGCAAAGTGAGCTCTGGTTGGTGCGGAGCCAGCATTTGCAAGACACCCCCTCCCCATTCCACCCCCGAGTTTTCCACTAGGAATCCAGTGTGGCAAAACTGTTGGATATGCCAGGATCCATCTGAGTTGTTTGCCACCCAGGAGCAGCTCCGTTATTGTTCCCTGGTCAAGTGAACGAGCAGAAACGTAGAGCTGTCATTTTCTGAGGGGGCTTGAGTCTAACGAGGGGTGCCTTGCGTCCCCAAAGGTTGAGAACCACTGGTGTGGTCAGATGTGTGTGAGATACATATTCAGACTCTGTGTTGGTGCACACAAGTATGTGCACACGTTATACGTGCAAGCACTAACCTACAGTAAAATTGCCAGGCTTCCCATTCAAACAGGCAACCACTCGGAAGTCCCTGACAAGGTTGCCCTTGGGAGTATGCATGAGACAACCATGTGCTGCATGGCCTGCAATTTGTAAGCTTCATTATTTTTTTACTCGGGCTTGCCTGCGTGTCTGTGCTGTGTGTAAATGCATAATGTTTCTCTGCATATTTTGAGTATGTAATATTTCTAAAAGCAAACCAGAAAAAAAAATGGGCACTCCATCCTGCATCGTTCTGATGCCCATATGGGTCACTGACAGGGTTGAAAACTTTAGATCCAGCATGCAGGCATTTCTCAGTGGAGTAATTTTCTGTGGACCAGCACTAGGTAGAGATGGGAAGCTTTGTCAGCGAGTGGCACAGTTATCTGCTCTCAGCAGAACACTCCTGTGGCTCAGAAATCGTATTCCAGTGGGCACAGACTCCCTTGTCTCCCCAAAGTTTTATTCCTTCTGCCTTTTCCACCCATCTTGTCCCTAGCCTTAGCCATCTTGTCCCTTAGCCTTCATCTTACCCACTCCTATATTTTGTCCCAATCCCATTCTCTGTACTTCCCCAGTTCTTGTCACTACTCCTTAAACTTTCATCATAGTCCACATCTCCTTGTCCAGTCTGTCTTAATCTCCGTCTCCCATATTCTCACCCTAACTTCCCCCTTCCCAGTCCAAGTCTCTCCCCAAATTTCACTCTTAAATCTTCTAGGCTAGTCAGTGTCCTACCTAACATGGATGTAGGTTGTAATGTGACCCCGCCCCACCTGCACACGGGATGCCCAGCTTGTCCCTCTAAGATTTCTCAAGTGGGTGCAGAGGATCAGAACTATAGTCACTCCACAGCCACCTCCACTTCCTTCCTTTCTAATCCAATTCTTCTCCCTTCCAGCCTTTAGCTCTACCTACCAGGTCATCCACATTCCCCATTCTTCTCCCCTCATCAAAACTCAATGTCTCTTCAGGCCCTTAACCCCTTGTCTCCTAAGCAAGTCAGCCACAGTTCCTCCACTGTATCATGGTTCCTACTCAGATGTGTTTTCCCATCACCACCACATCATTTTCCCATCCCCAAGAGTCTACATCTCATTGCCCCCAGCACCTTAGTCCCATTCACATTCTCTACGCCCGGACAGCTCCTCTGTCATCCCCTCCCTTAATCTTTTATTATTGGATGCAGACTTTCCTACCACAGTTCATCTCTATGTGACTGGTAGAGAGGACTCAGTGTGATCCAGGTGGCAGGTGGCACTGCTCTGCAATGCTATGGTGTGCTTGCTGTATGAAATAGCTTGCCATGAACATGTGATATTGGTGCTTCTTGACCTGCACTTTCTGCCATCTGGCTTCCCAATGGAGTTTGAAATGTTGCATTTGATCTATGAAGCCCTAAATGCCTTGTTACAAAGAAACTGCCCTTCTTTCTGTGTGATGCCATGACCGCTTCTATCAGAACTGGCACCTGAGCTTGAAATGTCTGATCTATTAAAAGACAGACCAGTGAGCTGGGCCTTTAAGAAGGTCAAGTCTATGCTCTGATGGTTTTTCCATATCACCCCTGTCACGCGGCTGAGCAGATAACTGAGAACTAGGTCTGTGGAGAAATATAAAAGGAAGCCTTTACCCATATTGCCACCCACAAATGATTGAGGATCGATTGGCTTAATATGAGATCTTAAAAATAATACAGTCCAGGTTATTTTTATTTTTCCCTTGGTGTTTTCCCTTTTGACATTTTCAATCTTTCCTCCACAATCACAAAGACAAAACAGTATATTTTTTTTCTAATGAAAGCTGAGATTCGCACCAAATAATTCCCCTCCAACAGCTGAGGCTTTATAAAAACACCAAGTAGAGTGGCCTCTTGATAAAATGGTGAGAACTGACAATGCTGCTTTCCTTAAAGTGGAAAAAGGTCAGGAGGAGAGATTTCTGGAAAAATCATACACTAGCATGAAACCTGCATGGATGTTTTTCAAAGGAGGATACAAACCTGGAGTACCATGGATGCTGGGGGGTAGACAGGACAGAAATGAAGCTCCCCATATCTCCCAGGGTCTTGTTCTGTCCTTTTGCTAGTCTGACTTATTTTGCTTAGAGAGGTGGTATAAGAGCTGTAGTGTCAATGCACAGTCTCATTTCAGTGGCTTTGACTCATGAATGTTGGCACATGCTATTCTGGAGATCCAGTTAGTGGTTCCCAAACTAGGTGGCCCTAAGTGGTGTCATAACACTTAGGGGTGGGATTGTGAGGGCCATTGCTATGTCTCCACCAGAAGCAGGGTCACAAGCCAACCAGAAGTGGACTAACAGATAGAAAGATTGGGAAATATTGCTTTAAGTTTAATAACGTTTTCTGTTTCAGTAGTATAAAACAGCTTCGCAGCTGGAGAGTAGGAATCGTACATTAGCTGAGATAAATGTCGAGCACATGAGATAGTTTGGGGCATGCTCAGAGTTGAAGACCCAGGTGTGTGTGCTGAACACCATATAAAACACCTGATTTTGTACAATGCTGTTTTCTTCAGTAGGTCATGTCTTAGGACCCATTTATTGAAATGGCCTCAAATTTGGTCCCCAGACTGGGCAAATTTAAAGAAAATATAAGCAAGCATAGAGATTTCTGAGCACTTTGGTTAGTCACCTATTATAAAGAAACTGCTCCTTATCTTTACCTATAGCAGAGCAGGCACTTTGCTATATGACACTGTTTCTATCTCTGTGTGCATGCGTGTGTGTGTATGTGTGTATACTGTCACAACCCAAAGTTGTGGTTTTTTGTTTGTGTGCTTCGGCACCGCTAAATTATGTTCCCGCTAAATTGCAGCTCCTTTGCACAGTGGAGTGTTCTGCTGCAAAAGGAGAACCCGTGTGCAAAAGAGTATTTCCCGCCGTTTGTAGCCTTCTTTGCATGGTGCATTTCTTTTGCATCATGGTGATACACAGTGCAAAGGAGTTCCCGCCATTTGTATTTGAATTCGTGCCACATTATTGGCCAGTTCTAAATTATGCATACGTGGCGGCTAGCTATTGGCTTGCTAGCCGTACAAAAGGCTTGGGTAGTTTCCGCCCAAGCCGGAGAGGAGAGGAAAGCAGAGGAGTGGAGAGAAGCGGAAGAGACTTCGTGCTGTGTGAAGATCTCTAAGCGATGTGGACCCTTCCGGACCCAACGCGTCTCTCTTAAGAAGGCAACAGAGGTCTAAACAGCTTCTGGCCTCTCCCCGTTGCTGAGTGCAATCCTAGACATATCCCTATCCTATATACCCAATTTTCGAACCCACGGAGTCTTAACAGCTCCGGGGGACCTCGGAACCGAACAGAACCCACGGAGATTCAGCCACTCCGTGAGAAAAGAATTGCCGAACCCATGGAGCCTAAACCACTCCGGGGTCAAAGAACCGAGTTTGTCAGAGTCCTCCAACGAGGATTCAAGCGGAGCTGCGCCTGGAAAGCTGTCCAGCCTACACCGTGACCACCTTGGGTGTAAGTAAATAATCTTTTCAATCAACCATTACATCTCCGTAACTGATTCTAGCTCGTGCGTACCTTACCGCCTCGCGGTTTTCTCCAGCCCCACGTGCCCGGGCT